GTGTATACTGAGCTCTCTCCTGTCCTCACTCTGCACCTACGACTGCACGGAAGGCTGCATGACATAGTGTGACGTCATGCAACCTTCGCAGACGGCAGGTCGGTGTAGCGTCAGGGGTGTATACTGAACTCTCATGTACTCACTCTACACCTACGACTGCACGGCTGCACTAATATCTCCTAATTCATTGTGAAGTTTGCGGATGACACAACAGTGGTTGGTGACGGTTACAAGGAGGATCTCAGTGCCTTTAAACTTTATTGCTAAGAGAACCATCTCACCCTCAATATCACAAAAACAGAAGAGTTGATCGTGGACTTCTAGAGGTGTTGTAAAGCACATACCCCGATGTGCTGTGGAAAGAGAGAACAGCTTCCGTTTCCTAGCTGTACATCTGGCAGAGGATCTGACATGGTCAGTTCACACGAACAACATACCCCTTCATAGACAGTGCAGTTTTCGCTACCTGTGACACTGCGGTAACCACGAAACCATGCTGCCCACGAAACTTTGCTGCCCGTGAAACCGCGCTGCCCGTGAAACCATGCTGCTCATGAAACCGTGCTACCCGTGAAAACGCGCTCATACATCATACAGCATCAAAGGGAGTAGGGCCACTGTCAGTCATCTTTAAGAATAAAGACTCTATTTGTCATGTCGATGGGAAGCTTCCCAGCCTGGAAGTGATCCAAACTTTGGAGACTTCACTAGATCTACATGAGAACTCTGGGGTTATGCTACACATGAAAGAGAGAGCTTATACTACAGTGAAAGCCCCAAACTGAGCAGCAATGAGACTTCCAAGAGTGAGGAAAGCCCCACTGGCTGATGTGTCTGTCCAACACCTACTTGAAAAAGGTGTTACCTTTGCTATGAGAACTAAGACAAGAAGGTAGCAACTGTTTGCTCCTCCTGTCATATGCCAACAGGCCTCGAGCAAAGCACGAGTCAAATTTGTATGTTGTATGTAGATTGTGAACACAAGCACTAGAAATTTGTTTTCTGTTCTCTCTTAAATATGTGATTAATACATGAGCAAAGAAATCTGCCACCACATTGTATTTCCTGAATCAGTCTTATTAGGTAATGTTGAAATAATTTTATCATTCCAGTGTTTTCAGTGTGGGAGAAAATACTTAGGGCCTTCAAGTTACACATTATGAAAGACAGCAACAAGTTTAATATTCAGAAACCTAAAGTATGTATCAGCAGCAGAATGGACCTAAAAATAAATGTCCATGTTTTTTTTCAGTTATATGAAGCTTGAAGTATTTTGGATTAGTAGTACTGCTGTGTTTGCTGCATCATATTGCTGTAATTGTTTATATGCTTTATATATTTTGAGGTAAGTTGATCTATAGTGTTACATCATATTCTATAAGGATGTTATGTGTTTGTATACTTTCTTCCCAGTTTGACCCATTTAGCAGAAGTCAGCCTGTTTAAGGCTCTGATATCTATTCTGTAGGTATGATTTTCTCACCCAATAAAGGAATATGCAATATATCAGTCAACTCTTCATTTTATCACAAACAGTTATCACATTTTGTACATTTTAATTATTAAATAATGGTACAGAAACAAGGCCTCATCTGTATAAGAAAAATTACCAGTACCGGGACCGTACGAGGGAAATTTCTTTTGCAGTTCATCTGATATCATAAAATTACTTATATTTTCCAGTGTTATTGTTTGTTTTTTTGCTAGGGAGAAGAGTATTTATTTTTGTTATGAGAATCAAACTGGTTAACATTCATAGGTGTTCTCAATAAGCTGAAGTTCTGAAAAATGCAGACAGCCATCATTTGAATGTGATTCTGAAGTGTAATACATGTTTTGCTAGCGAAAAGTGTGCATTCAGTGACAGGTTGGTGAGTGGTTTCGGGAGGCTAGTGGCACTCTCAAGGTGAAATTAATCGCAAAGACATGTATAGTGCTGCACCGAAAACCTTTTGGTGCTTGGTTCCCAACAGCTTGCCATTGTTGCCCATGGTTTGGATGACACCTAATGGCTGTAAACAGTAACAAACTACTTGTGGAGTATTAGTGAAAATGGGAAAAGTAGAAAGCAAACCGGAAACACTTTCTTTCAAAGTTAAGTTAGTTTTACTTTGAAAGCAAACATTATCCGCTTCTTGTTTGTGTTGAACACTTTCAAGTTTTATTGCCTCTCCACTAGTAGGTGGCAAGTGTTCGCAGGTAAGTCTCCATCTTTCATGCAAACTACAGGTAACCATGGAAATCTGCTAGCAAGAGCATAGATGTCAAGCTGGACACTGAAACAAAAGGGCTTTAGGTGAATGCACTACACAACAACCCCTAACCTTTAAACTTAACCACATTTGTTGCCTCTGACATTCAATCTTTAACTCTTCTCCTGTAGAGACGTCCTGCAGGGGGGCAGAGGGAGGGAACAGCGCAGACGTCACTGGGGGGAGCAGGGTGAATTATACAATATATATATTTTCAGAATCAATACAGAGTGTGTGAAAAATGGGGGTTAGACATTATATGACATTTCTAGACGAGCTGGGTGACCCTGGTTTCCAGATAGATGTTTTTACTCATGTTGCTGGACAATTACAACCATTAAAAAAAAACAAAAAAAAAAAACATTAGGAGAAGGGGAAAAGCTTTCATCATCCAAACGTTCAAGCAGAGCCAGTTGATCATTTTCAAACCCAGATTTGAGTTCTTTTTATTAAGTGGACGGTCTGTCTGAGGTTAGCGCTTTTTCTTGGCTCAGAGATATCACTCATGAAACATCTGCAATAATACTCTTGCTGTACACAAACATACATACATAAATACTCCTAAAAAAACAAACAAAGAAAACATAATTAAGCAGTAATTACACAGTAGAAAAAAAGAAACTTAAAGCCAATTGCTCTTGCTACAAAATTGCGAAGACTTAAAAAAGGCAATGCTAATGAAATGGCTGTGCTGTGAAACGGCGGTAACGCCTCGCATCTTCTCTAAATCGTCTTGTAGCGCGTTGTTCAGCTCCACACGTACGTGGAGAGCCTTCATGTCGCTGTGTGTTTCATCCAGTCCAGCTTCTTTGATATGTATGTTGTGTTTATTTTCTTTTTTCAAATTTTAGTCAGGTGAGATGACGAGTTCTGTGTGCGAGTGCTGGAGGTTTTATCTGACGAGGTGGAAAGTGAGCCAGTACATGAAAATGGGCTGTGCTGCTGCTATAGCCATGGTGAGGTACATCCTCAGTTGGTTTCTGGCTCCTCTCACTAGCTTCCCTTCTGCTGCTGCTTCTGACAACAGCTTCAGACGCAGAGTGCGTATCTGAGGAGAGACAAGCAAAAGATATTTGAAAACGTTTTATTTGCAGCTCTAGATTTTTTAACCTGAGCATCCACCAAAGTAGCTTTGCATAAAGACAAATTTATCTTATACTGTCTTAAACTGGTGGGTTATACAACCCCCTCAATTCAACTGTCGGACACAAAAACTCTTTTAATGCCGCTTTCTTTAACGCCCATCTCCCTAAATTGTCTTTTTCTTCTGACTCACAAGCACAACACATTAGGAAATTTGTGCTAAACAGATGTCAGGGTGGAACAAGAGTACAGGAAAAACAAACGATACAAAAAAAAACTTGAAGGCTAAACGTCTGGCTCAAAGGGATTATTGCACAGTCTCTGAAACTTCGGCCATGTTTAACAACAGCACCACCAAGTGGAAAAAACGTAAGTCTGCAAAGTACCTGACCTGTCTAACTTTTTATCTTTAAACATGACTACCCCAAGTTACAGGCAGTTATGATACAAAAAAAAAATCACAAGGAATTTATTATTATTGTTGTTGCGATTATGTACTAAATATACAGAAGGATGCATTTGCACAGTTTGACGTTAGATCTATGAACCTTTAAGGCTTTCTGACATGTGTTCAAGCCTATAAGCATCTTCAATAATTTTTCAAAAATAAAATCTGTTCATCCATCCATCCATTCGCTTCCACTTATCCTTTTCAGGGTCGCGGGGGGCGCTGGAGCCTATCCCAGCAGATATAGAGCGAGAGGCGGGGTAGACCCTGGACAGGTCGCCAGTCTGTCGCAGGGCCAACACACAGGGTCAGACAACCATTTGCACTCACATTCACTCGCACATTTACAATTAATCTATCCCCACAAGCTGCATGTCTTTGGACGGTGGGAGGAAGCCGGAGTAGCCGGAGGGAACCCACGCAAACACGGGGAGAACATGCAAACTCCACACAGAAAGACCCTGGCATGATGGTGGAATTGAACTCAGGACCTTCTTGCTGTGCAGCAACAGTGTTAACCACCGTGCTGCCCTAAAATCTGTACACTAAACCAAAATTACTAAACATAAGTAAATAATTTTACTCACCATGAAGACAAAGATGGCAGCGCAGCACCACAGCAGAGACAGATAATATGCCGGCTTCCCAAACAAAAGGCCCGCCACTAAGCCTACAATCATCCTACAGAAACAAAAGGAGAGATATACACATTTAAGGCATGACACTGACAGATTCAGAGTAATAAAAGGCAAACAATGACACCGATCGGTACATACCCAACATATTTATAGCCAGCAAAGGCCAGCAGGTCTATAGTGGTGAGGTCTGTGTTTACAGTAACAAGGTAGAGCGACAGGAGGACCACCAGGACTTCCATGATTAACCACACCAAAGCTGAGCTTGCCTGAACTCCTAGCAGCTCTGGTGAAAACCTAAGGAAGGCACAAAATAACAGAGTCCATAGAAATATAACAGAATACTCTAAATCCTTTATTATGAACCTGTGGTGATGTTCTCCATTTTTGGCTTTAAGGTTTGAAAAGGACAGCCTTTAAGAAAATGAAATGGCTTAAACCAGAAACACATAAAACTACAAGTCTCCAAAAAGTGTTTAAGATGGTCATAACCAGAGCTTAGGGTCATACTCAAATGTGCATCACTCTGATAAAAACATGGATGCAGATGTACCTGCTCTGTGTGCCGAGGGCCAGTCCGGCCACCAGGATGTATGTGATGAAGCCCATGGTAGGAATATAAAGGTCGGGAGCGTTCACATCAAAGCGCGGAGCCACAGGAGTGTCCTGCTGGTAGCTCACCTCCCAGTTCTGCAACACACACGATCACACACTTACTTTCAAAGATGTAAGACCCAAAATAAACATGTTTTTAAATATTTGGGTCTATGTGAAGATATTTGAGACACGTTACTTTTCAAGACAGACCTAGAAGCAGGTTTCTTCTTTTATCTTAAATATTTATGGAAAACCACAAGCAATCTCTACACATATCCACCAGAATGATTGACATTTAGCAGGTGTAAAGAGACTCACTTCGTGCATATATGGGAAAACTAGAAGGCCCAGCTTCTTCCCGACGTACACTGTGTCCACAGCAAAGTAGTACTTTAGCTTGGAAATTGGGATGAATCTATCCAGCTGAAACAAGCAAGCATGCGGACATGAATACGAGGCTCTGACTAACAAGGGCAATCACTGGATTTATTCTACCATTATTATGAGATTAAACATGAGCAGGATTTTATTGGACTCATTCCTGTTAAAAATTGGTGAGCTGCTCTTACGTTCTTGTCAACCATTTCTCTCCCCTGGGATGCCAGCGAGCTGCCATATGCCATGGCCAGATTGGACATGGGCTCTGACAGGAGGGTCTGACCAGAAAATCCTGCAGTTTGAGGGCCGGCCTGCTGGTTCCTGCCAATGTGACACAAGACAGGGGATCAGCTCGGTGAACATGATGATCTAATCAGCAAAAGCAATATTTACAACACATGCAAGCAGAAGACAAAAGACATGAGCTCGATAAAGTAAAACATGAGGTGTGGAATGTTGTCGCCCCCTTCTGGCACTGAGAGTATTTGTAAAAACACAGTCAAAGGCTTCTTCTTAAGAAGGAAAAAACAGCTTCATCCTCATTGGCAGGAGTCCCACCTGTATCCTGCCTGTGGTCCAGGCCCAGCTCTGCTCGTATCCTCAAACAACTGACTGCCATCTGGACCGTCCCCTGGACTATTCCTTAGACGCATACTGGGCTCTGTGTAAAAAGACAGAGTTTAGAGAAGGAGAAAACATTCATGATGGATATCCTTAAGGGTAATCAATCTGTCCAGTTAGGAAACATGAACTATTGTGAACCCATTTTACCTGTTTTGGTGAATACAGGTGCAATGGAGAGACAACGATAAGAGAGCCCCTAAAAAAAGGGGTTTTAAAGAAAATTCTGCATTTAACTGGGGCCAGTGAAGTGACTTCAGTGCAGGGGTAATATGCTCAAATTTCCACATTAGTGTAAAGACACTGGTTGCTGTAATTGGGCCAAAATGAATCCGTCTTTCTGATGATTTGGATAATCTTGTAAATAAAGCGTTACAGATGCATGGACTAATTTCTCAGAACCAGTTTGAGACCTGAATTTTCTAACTTTTACTATTCGTTAAGTGGTGGAAAAATGATTTAACTGTTCTCAGAAGGGGATTTTAATTATGAGAAAAAAATCTGTCTCTAAGTTTTTGGACTCACAAACAAATATTTCCATCCTGTTTCAGTTCAGTTCTTAAAAATTTCGAGACATCCAGCAGTTATTATGAAGAGGTGTTAGATCAGAGGAAAAAGACAGGTATAACTTTGTATCATCTGCATAACAACAGTAAAGTATATTATTATTATGTATGATAGCAACAAGTGGGATCGTGTAAAGGTTAATGAGTAATTGACTAAGAACACCCAAAGTTTTTAGACCACAGTGTGCTGTTGAAGAAGCTGGTCTGAACTAGCTATAAAGAGAACTGGTAAGGAAAGTACACGTCTATTTACACAAAAAAAATTCATAGTATGAAATCTCAGTACAGAAGACACAGTCTTTTAAGTCATTTCACTGAAGTATTATTTATATAATCAGACACTTATCACAAGACCTGATTACTGCGTCCTCAGGCGCCTAATGCTTGTTTAGACCTTGTTTTCCTCTCCCGTGTAAAGAGCAGCACACAGTCTTAAGAATGAAATAAAGTAGCTAAAAAAAGTGAAACAAATATGTAAATATTACAAAACTGTTCTACTTTAAGCAAGAAAGCAAGCTTCTTCAAGAGGGTCCCCTCTGCAGTGGCTTGATGATGCGCATGTCTCGGCTCACACATTTTTCAAAGCACAAAAATAACACTGTACATTCATTACTAATCATTAAACTGATCAGAGTTCAAATAAGCACTGTTTACTGCAAGCTGTGGCTCCTAAACAAACAAAGCTCAGCATAGAGGGAACAAAAAAAGACTCCGAATAAGTAACGTCATCAGAGGGGACCATTAGCCAGTCCAGCCCGTGCAACGGGAGACGAATTAGCTAGTTAGCAGTGTCAACACATATTGTCGGCGCCTATTATATAATTAAAGCTCTTTAATTAAAGTTGAAAGTTAAGCTTAAATTCACCGTTTAACTGTCCGTGTTTACACAAGTTGTTTAACATCAGCAGCTAGACTCAACCGGCTGATAAGAGCGAGCTAACAGTAGCCAGCATCAAACGTATACATGCACCCGGCAAACGTATGAACTGAGCTAATGAGAAAATTACGTACGTAACTTACGCTGTCTGAACCCACTTTGAGTTGCAGTAAAATCCATTTTTAGAACAAGCAGGCGGTAGCGGCAGCTGTCAAACAAGCAACACTACTCGAAGTTGGTACTAGTTAGCGAGCTACACTGGGGAAGCTGTGGTCATTCATGAAATTTTACACGGAAGTGAATACGCTCTTCTTCTTCTCTTGTAAATGTAACGATGAACGGACATTAGAGGTGAACACCGCCGTCTGCTGTGTCGAAGTTTCTTCACGTCTATGCCCACGATAACATTTCTATTGGTTTTTGCTTTGCTGCGTTAATCATGGGCGACTGTGACTGTGTTAATAACCTTCTACACATAATAGCACATATTTATCCAGTATGTTTATTTTAACAGTTTTAACAGTGAGTAACAGGTAATTATTTTGACCATAGTCTTATGAAGTAATTATTTTATACATTTTTATTGTGTAGTTTTCTAAAAAATAAAATAAAATGCACAATGTCCCTGTAAGCTATGGAAGATGTATTAGTAATCTGTACAGAAACAGACACCCCCTATTACACACGCACCTCATGGTTATTTTTATGGGTTGATAAAATTTGGTTCATATAACAGGGCTGATCTTTAATAGTAACTGGTGATTGTTTTATGATCTAGTATGGATAATAAGGATATGACATGAAATATAATATCAGTAGGAGTAATGTTATGAAAACTGACACATTCAGATTTCTTCCTGTCTGGAAGTACCTCAAGGCGTGCAATTAGATTAAACACTTAGGCCATTACATAACCAGTTATTGGACAATGGGGGCATTTATAGACAGAGCTGGAAGTTATATTAAGCTAATAAGTTGGCTCATTAATTTAGTATGTGTAGTGAATGTGACGACCTCTCTCTTCTGAGCCGTTTGAACTTCCCTGCATACTGCCCATCTGTAATGTTGCTATAGAAAAGACCGAATGCAGAGACTCCCAGTGGTATATAATAACAGTATGATTCTCCTCTGAAAGCACCAGGAGGCTACAGAGTTACCAAGATGTTTGTGTATTTTGGTGCCTGAACATTTACACACATCTAGTTTGCAAACCAACTAAAGTTCACTCCATTAACTAACAACAACAAAACATCAGTGATTTTTTAAACTCTGTGACTCTGGACATTACAGTGCTTATCAGACTGTCAGTCAGCTTCATTGAACTGGAAAAACTTACTGTACATTACTGTAGCAATCACTGCTTACATCAAAATTGTCTCTAGAAAACCTTAGACACATATCTGACTATAA